GACCGTTGTGGGCGGGGTGTGTGGCTTTATGACACACTTCCGGTGATGTCAGGGGGTGTGGCCTTATGACACACTTCCGGTGATGTCGGGGGTGTGGCATATGCTAATGAGTTATGCTAATGAGTTCTCCTAGCTCTTTTTCTACGAAAGGACCCCTGCGAGCAGGTACCACTGAGCCACAGCCCCTCCCCTCTTGATTTCAAGAGTTCGTAATCCTCCTCCTTGGAATCGCACCAGAAAAACTTTAGAGGTGTACTCCTGCCGACTTTTTAGAAAGCTCCTTACGTTACACATCTTTAAAAAAGAATAGCATGGAATGGGCTCCCATGAAAGCTCTTGAAAGGAAGAATTGGCACTGGAGAAGTGCAGATGGCATTGCAGGCACTTGAAACAAGCAAAGCTCAGAACCACGGCAATGATGTGGGAGACCAGAGAGAACTCTGCACATGCTCAAATGTACTGAAGCCCAGATGCGACATTTAGAGGATTGCCAGTGGGGCTTTTGAGGGAGGGGGGGGACATTTAGCATCAGCCCGATGTAGAGAAATTTACCTGCTGGTGATTCTTCTGGTACAGCGATGAACGGTGGGGGAGATCTTAATTCTGGTGTTTCCTACTGCAGCTCAGGGCAGGGGAGCAGAAGTTCAGCAAAGTGGCAAAGAGGAGGCACGGCACCCATTCCGGGGGGGGGGGAGAAAGAAACCCAGCCAGAACGACCGTGATGCAAGCCAAAAAGCAGCCGCAACGGCCCATATGCCACAAGCCCCCCCTTTCCTTCTCTGTGGGGAGCAGCTGATAAAACCCATCGCTGCACTTAATGGTGGCATCCAACGAGGAACGGGAAGCCAACAGAGTCGTCGCAAGGCATCAACAGAGGGCAGAGCCAAAGGGACCGCTCACCGGAGGGGCTGCGGCATGCTGTGACCTTCACGGGAGGACTGGCGGGGAAGGAACGAAAGGAAGGGTCCTGGAGCCCCACAAAGAATCGACTTTTTCCGGCTCTTTATCCAGCATTTCTGAGTTCCCGCATGCAGTGGCGGCAGAATCAAATGCAGAAGAATGGAATGTGTATTTTGGAGCAGATAGGGGTTTTTTGTTTCTGCGTTTACATGCGCTCTCAAGCAATCTGAGCCCAGTCCAGTTTGGAGGCAGGGTTGCCAACTCCCCGGTGGCACGTGAAGAGCTCCCGCTATTGCCACTGAGCCCCAGATGACCAAGTTCAAGTCCTCTGGAGCAAATGGCTCTGTTGGAGGGTGGACACTCCGGCGTTATGCCCCACTGAGGTCCCTCCCATTCCCAAAACCTGCCCTCCCCTGGCTCCACCCCCCCAAACCCCCAGGTATTTCCCAACCCAGAGCTGGCAACCCTGGGTTGCCAACTCAAACCTGGGCAATTTCTGGAGATTTGGGGGTGGAGCCTGGGGAGAGGGGGTTTGGGAATGGGAGGGGCCTCCGTGGGGCATAACGCCAGAGTGTCCACCCTCCAACAGAGCCATTTGCTCCAGATCTCCGGAGTCTAACCCCACCTGAGAGCTGTGATGGAGAAGGCCCAGGCTCTGGCTGATAACAGGCAGGCTACATAAGTGGTGTTAGAAGATGCTTCTCTGATCATAAGAGCCGTCTCCCTTCTAAAAGGAAGTGATCCACCTTCAGAGGTCGTAAACCTCTGAATCTCAAGGCCTGGAGGCAGCATCAGGGGAAGGCCTCGGCCTCTGTGCCCTATGGGCAACTAGTTGGCCAGCGTGTGAGATGGGAAGCTGGACTAGATGGACCACTGGTCTGATCTAGTAGGGCTCTTCTGATGTTCTTAACAGGGGAAGGCCTCGGCCTCTCTACCCTGTTGTTGGCCCTTCGGAGGAACTGGCTGGCCCGTGTTTGAGGCAGGATGCTGGACTAGAAGGACCACTGGTTTGATCCAGCGTGGCTCTTCTGATGTTCTTATCAGGGGAAGGCCTCGGCCTCTAAGCCCTGTTGTTGGACCTCCATAGGAAGGGAAGCTGGACTACATGTGTGTGACGGGAAGCTGGACTACATGGACCATTGGTCTAATCCAGCAGGGTTCTTCTTGTGTTCTTACCAGGGGAAGGCCTCGGCCTCTGTGCCCTGTTGTTGGCCCTCTAGAGGAACTGGTGGCCACTGTGTGAGACAGGATGCTGGGTCAGACGTTCTTATCATCTTGAGACTTTCTTTTCGGAGTGCATTTATGTCAGCTAACAGAAATATCTCATCACATGGATACAAATGTCACTCGTTGATTCTCCTTTCACGCGGGGGACTTTCTTCCAAGTTGCTCTGACAAGGCAAAAGAAAGAGTACTCATCTTCCCAGGGTTGCCACCCTCCAGGTGGGATCTGGGGATCTCCTGGAATTACAACTGAATTCCAAACTTCAAAGATCAGTTGGGCTGGCGAAAATGACTGCTTTGGAAGGGAAAGCTCTGTGGCATTCTACATGGCTAAGGCCCCTCCTTCCCTGAACCCTCACCTTCCCCAGGCTCCACCCCAAAGCTCCAGGGATTTCCCAACCCAGAACTGTCAAGCCTAAGGAGCCCGGTGGAACGGCCTTCTTCTGCTTCCCCCAGCTGCCCCTGTCCATAAGCAGATCACTACTGCAGAGGCCAGGGGAACCTCCTGTTGGAAATATGTGTGTCGCAAGGTCTAAAGCCAGTCATTATAGGGTTAATCTGCTTATCTTGTGTGCTATTGTTTAGACTGACCTGGAAGGGAACCTGGCAGAAAGCCAATGAAAAGAAAGCCCGGGAAACTGAAGCCTATTTACTAACAATCACTAGTCAATGCATTCAGGTGAATTCCTTCTAGGCGTCAAGAAGAAAAGAAGAATCTCCATTACTATCTGTGTCTGTCCGTTCTTGCAAGCATGTAGTCTTCAGCGTTTATTGTTTTGTAGATTTTCCCGTGAACCCTTCCCTTTAGCAATAAAGTTTTCTACATAGAAAGAAAATGCCTCCTCTCCAGTGAACAAAGATCCATTGCAACCTCTGAATATCTAACTATTTTTACCAATTTCCCAACATCTCCCACTTCCTGCTGGGAGTGGTGCCAGGAGGAGGCAGCAGGGTCCAGCTCCATTACACTCTTCCACACCCTGCCAGGGACTCCTCTGGGAGGGAGGGAGAGGTTGTGTTCATTTGTGGTCCAGCCTGCTTCTGATAGGAGCCTGGAAGAAGGGTTACCCATCTCCAGGTGGCACCTGGAATTCTCCTGATATTACAAATGGTCTCCAGAATATCGAGATCTGTTCCCCTGGAGGAATGAATGCATACCTGGATACATGAAGCTGCCTTATACTGAATCAGACCCTTGGTCCATCAAGGTGAGTGTCGTTTACTCAGACTGGTCAGTTCTCCAGCATCTCAGGTCTTTCCCATCCCTTAGCCCCTGGTCCTTTAAACTGGAGAAGCCGGGGATTGAACCTGGGAGGACCTTCTGCATGCAAAGCAGAAGCCCTTCCACTGAGCCACAGCCCTTCTGGAGGCCTGATCCCTTTAACTGTTACCTGTTACCTTTAACTGGTGATGCCAGGGATTGAGAGCCAGTTTGGTGTGGTGGTCAAGTGTGTGGACTCTAATCTGGGAGAACCAGGTTTGATTTCCTCACTTCTCCACTTGCAGCTGCTGGATGACCTTGGGCAAGCCATAGTTCTGTCAGAGCTGTTCTTGAAAGAGCAGTTTCTGTCAGAGCTCTCTCAGCCCCACCTACCTCACAGGGTGTCTGTTGTGGGAAGGGGAAGGGAAAGAAGATTTTAAGCCGCTCTGAGACTCTGAGTGAAGGGTGGGGTATAAATCTGATCTCCTCCTCCTCCTCTTCTTGAACCTGGAACCTTCTGCACGCAAAGTGGAAGCCCTTCCACTGAGCCACAGCCCTTCTGGATCCCTGATCCCTTTAACTGTTACCTGGTCCTTTTAACAGTAGATGCCAGGGGATTGAACCTGGAACCTTCTGCATGCAAAGCGGAAGCCCTTCCACTGAGCCACAGCCCTTCTGGATGCCTGATCCCTTCAAATGTTACCTTTAACTGGCGATGCTGGGGATTAAGAACATAAGAGAAGCCAGTGTTGGATCAAGCCAGTGGCCCATCCAGCCCAACACTCTGTGTCACACAGTGGCCAGAAATACCAGGTGCCATCAGGAGGTCCACCAGTGGGGCCAGGACATTAGAAGCCCTCCCACTGTTGCCCCCCCCCCACATCAAGAAGACAGAGCATCACTTGCCCCAAAGTCCCTATCTATACCTTGTGGCTAATAGCCACTGATGGACCTCTGCTCCATATGCTTATCTAATTCCCTTTTGAAGCCGTCCATGCTTGTAGCCGCCACCACTTCCTGTGGCAGTGAATTCCAAGTGTTAATCACTCTTTGGGTGAAGAAGTACTTCCTTTTATCCGTTCTAACCCGACCGCTCAGCAATTTCATGGAGTGCCCACGAGTTCTTGTATTGTGAGAAAGGGAGAAAAGTACCTCTTTCTCTACCTGCTCTTTCCCATGCATAATCTTATAAACCTCAATCATGTCACCCCTCAGTCATCGTTTCTCCAAGCTAAAGAGCCTGTATCAGCCCAGTCGCCCACCGCGCCCCACTCTGTGTCACACAGTGGCCAAAAATACCAGGTGCCATCAGGAGGTCCACCAGTGGGGCCAGGACACCAGAAGCCCTCCCACTGTTGCCCCCCCCCAGGCACCAAGAATACAGAGCATCACATGCTTGAACCTGGGACCTTCTGCTCCACCAGTGCCACTGAGCCATGGCTCTTCCCTTGGCAGCTTTCCAAGGCAGACTGCCTGGCATCACATCCCCACTGAGTTCTCTCCCCCCTCCCCGAATTCCCCCCTCCCCAGGGACTAACTCCAAATCTCTAGGGATTTCCCAAACTGGAGTTGACAACCCTACGGGGATGTCATCATTCCCCACCCCCCGGGGCCCCTAAGACCTGGTGCTTCTAAAAAGAGCCTTCACACAACCATCCACAGCTGCCCTATTTACCAGGGAGAGCCTCGCTTTTCTGCTTCTGCTTCGTGCTTTGCGACTTGCCGCCTCTGTTTTGCCTTGAGGGGAATCTTCGGAGGTGCCCATTTTTTAACCGAACGGCCGGTCTGTGCACATCTGTGCCACAGTGGAGGCGCTCCCCTTCTGCCTCCCTCCCGCCACCCCGCGCAAATAAAAACATGTTGATGAGTATGTCTAAGTTGCAGCTGTTCTGTCTGCACAACTAGATCCCATTACAATCTGTTTACCAATTAGATGAGACTCTGAGAAACCCATGCCCAGATTTCTCCCCCCCCCCCACATCTCTGAAGGCAAAGAATTTGTCTGTCTTTTCTCGCCTTTGCCAGGGGAAATATCAAGCTGGGTGGAAAACCGGGCAGTGGTGGAGGACTCGGGTCACATCTGTACAAGCGCTGTGGCCCTGAACTGGACTGGAGCAGCTAATGCAGGGGTGTCAAACTCATTTGTTATGAGGGCCGGATCTGACATAAATGAGACCTTGTTGGGCCGGGCCACGTGTGTCATAAAATGTAATGCCAGGTAGCAGAGATATAAACTTTATAAAGGACACAGACACAAAGGGTTGTTTTGTTTTACTTAAAATAAAAACATGTGTAAAACATTAGCACTCTTGCAATAGTTCGTTTATTTAACAGTGTGTGATAACCGACACCTCTTGCTCTGAATGATTGCATCAAAATGTCTGTGCTGTTGCAATCTTGAGCATGCTGTTCAGGCGTGTATCTGTAAGCTGCAAACCTATGATGACGCAGCAGCAGCAGAACTGGAAGAAGAAGCAGAAGACAGCCAGTTCCACTGCGGGCCTGATTGAAGCCCTCCGGGGGCCTGATCTGGCCCCCGGGCCGCATGTTTGACAACCCCGAGCTAATGCATGGGGTTGCCAGCTCTGGATTGGGAAATGCCTGGAGATTTGGGGGGTGGACCCTGGTGAGAGCAGGGTTTGGGGAAGGGAGGGACCTCAGCAGGGTATAATGTCGCTAGACCTTAAATCCTGGTTCAGCCCTGTCCCCGAACTTATGTTCTACACTACACGCGAGTCCACCCCGGTAATTATCTCAGGGTATTTTTACATCCTACACTACACTCGAGTTCACCCCTGTAATTATCTTGGAATATTTTTTGTTTCCACATTACACTGAGGTCGCCCCGGTTTCACCCCACATTTGTCCCAGGATAAACGGATGCTGTTATAACCAGGGATAAATGCAAGGTATTGCATCGCGACTTGAACTCTGATAAAACCAGGGATGAGATCCAAGTGCGGAAAAGACCACAGAGTCCACCCTCCAAAGCAGCCATTTGTTCCAGGGGAACTGATCTCTACTGTTTGGAGATCAGTTGGAATAGCAGGAGATCTCCAGGCCCCTCCTGGAGGTTGGCAATCCTCCTAATTCAGCTGCCATTTATGTAGAGATGTTCAGAGCATGCATCTGCATGCATCTTGTCCCTTTTAGGCCTTGAAATACCCAGCTGCAAAACCACGAAAGGAGAGCTTTCAGTGGGGTATGTTTGTGGGTGGTGGTCCATCGCATGAGCGTTGAGGAACGTTCTATTAGAAGCATGCCAGAGAGGGGTCCCTGTTTTCAGCTATGCAGCATTGCAGAGCATGCAGACATTAGGTGTTTCTGTTTTTTTAAATTCTGTGGCTAAAGTTCATCACAAATTTTGGCCGGATCGTGGTTCACAAAGCAATGCTTGCAAACTGAAGAACCACCGTGAACGTCCATGAATTTTGGTGGAGTTTGTGGTGGATCGTGAAGAGCAGAAAGCAGGGGTTTACCTATGTTTTCTGCTGTTCCTGAAAAAACAGCTCAGCTGTTTGGAAACCCCTACTTTCTGCTCCTGGCAAACAGCCACAGGGAGCAGAAAGCAGGGGTTTAAACTTTAAATGGCTCATGAACCCATACGAACCAGGTCAGTTTGAGAACCAGCCTCCCAGTTCATATGGGTTCATGGTTTGGTTCATGGTTCAGCCACAAACCCAACCACAAAAATGTGGTTTGTGCCCATCCCTGGGGGGGGATTCAAACCCAGGTCTCCCTCTAAGAGTCTGACACTCTTAACTACTACACCACACTGGTTCTTGCGTGGTGGCACGCGCACTCACGCAATTTGAGTCTTACTGAGAAAGGCAGCTAGAGAGGAAGTAAAATAAACAAATTATATTTTATTGATGTCTCTCGCGAGCTGTTTTCCTTCACCTGCTTGCACTGCAGGTGTCCCGAGCTTATGTGCTTGGTGTGCACCATTTATATACCCTTCTTGTATCATCTTATGCTACAGGCCACTTCTAAGGAACTGATGTAAAAACAGCCCCAAAAAAGGACATACACGGTAACAAGCTGGTATGAGGAAACATGACATTAAGACGTACAGGTTCAATTCACAGGAAGAAAAAGTCAGATCGAAATGAGAATGTTTGAGCTGAAACAGCTGGGAAGCGGAATGCCACAGCAACTAGGGTTGCCAGTTCTAGGCTGGGAAATCCCTGGAGATTTAGGGGCAGAGTCTGGGGAGGGTGGGGTTTGGGAATGGGAGGGATCTCAGCGGCAAGGAATCATTGCACAACATCCACTCTCCAAAGTTGCTCTTTTCTTCAGGGAAACTGATCCCTGTAGTCCGGAGATCAGTTCGTAGGGATGGCAGCTCCGCATTGGGAACTAGCTTTAGATTTGGGGGTGGAGGCCAGGGAGGGTGGGTTTTGGGGAGGGGAGAACCTTCAGCAGGGTATAATGCAGGGGTGTCAAACATGCGGCGCCCGGAACGGCTTCTATCAGGCCCACAGTGGAACTGGCTGTCTCCTGCTTCTTCTTCCATTTCTTCTTCTGCTGCTGCTGGAACCTCTTTCATGTTTGTCGAATGGCCCTGTACCCAGAATGAGAATCGTCTCCAGTGAGGCCACCCTACCATTCTCCTCTCCTTTGCTTCCTAGAGGTCAAAGAGCCCACCGGACTCTTCTGCCTTGAAAAGCACTGGATTTCTCTTCCCAGAGATATCAGTATCTGGGTTCCTCTTCCACAGAAGGAATCCCTCCTTTGCCGATGCATGAAGGCCCTTAAGTCACAGGCAGGCTGGAGCCGCAGAGGCCTCGGGGGGAGCTGATTCCGAGCCTGAGCTACAGTCACTCGGGTGGAAACCACAGGCCGCTCGGGAGCTTTGTGGTCTCTGTGGCTTCCTTCCTGAATGTGCCTTCTGTGTCCCTGTATAAGCTTCCAGTGAGCAGCCTGGGCTCCTGCAGTGTAAACCATGAGATTCTGTTCTTTCTTCACTGCCAACTACAAGATGTTTTCCCTGGCTCTAAGCAGGGGTCATTTCGTAGAAAAAGAGGTGCAGGAGCTCATTAGCATAATTTATTAGCATAACTTATTTGCATTTGCCATGCCCCCTCACATCACCGGAAGTGTGTTAGAAGGCAACACCCACCGCTCAGGCTCCACTGGACTGTTTTGGATTGCTAGGTACTGGGGGGGGGTGCAGTGTGCAGATCTGCCCTCGCAGAGGAGGGAGAGCTTGTACCTGAATAAAACTTGGTCTTAAAGGTGCCACTGGACTGTTTTGGATTGCTAGCCATGGGGGGGGACAACTTACCTGGCTGCTTCTTGCTCCTTGTGGCCCAACTGAGGGCTGCTGGGAGCAGGGGCGGGGCTTGTTGCATGTGCCCGCCCCCTGGGCTCCTTACTGCCGGAGCTCCGCTCCTGTGCGCTCCCGCAGGAAATGACCCCTGGCTCTAGGACCAGCTTCTTCTTAGCTGGCCTGACGGCCTGGATTCCCTTTCGGAACTGCACCTAATCTGCTCCTTGGACTTTTGATCCAAGGTTGCCATAGGGATGCCGACCTCCAGGTGGGACCTGGGGACGAATGTTCCCTAGAAGCTGAGTTAATGTGAGCTAGCTCACCATTTTTGAGTTTCCGGCTCGTGCATTTTTGTCTTCGCCGGGAAGGATGGCTCCAGAGCAAACTAATTTATGCAGCAGCCAAATGGCTCGCTCACAACTTTAATGCCGGTAGCTGACAAAGTAGGATTTTTGCTCACAAGACTCCACAGCTTAGAGGGAGCGTTGCTGGAGTCCACCTGGGATTGCAGCTCATCTCCAGACTACAGAGATCAGTTCCCCAGGAGAAAGTGGATGCTTCGGAGGGCGGACTATATGGTGGTGTTCCCCACTGAGGTCCCCGTCCTCC